TGGGAAAAAGAAACAAGTTAAAACGGCAACAATTTTGTTGCTGTTTTAAATTGTTTCTTTCATTGCAGCTCACTTTCCACTGTCGAGTAACCCTTGATTCTTTCTGCTTTTTTCTCATGCAAAACCACTAAGTAAATGTGTCCCTTGATAACAACCTCAATGACATAGATATCAACCCCTTTATTTTGGTTGGCAATTAGGGTTTGTGAAGGCCGTTTAGAAGTACTAGTCAAATGTTTCATTTTCGCGGGTATTCCTTGACAATACGTACGTACTTTGTGTCTTAATCGGGTCTAGAACCGGTATAAAGTCGAAAAATGTACCTTCATGTTAAGATTATCTACACCCGGAATCAAAATGAGTGGGCAATAACTAAACCACCAGGAACTGGAAGCCAAGCCAAATCAATAAAAAGCAAACTCTGTGTATCTGAATTCGAATGGAACTGTTTAGAACTTGCTTAAAGGAACAACAACATGCTTCAAGGTGGACCGTGACCAAAGAATAAGTGGAAAGTAACGAAATAGGTAATGTTGTTCAGATACTAGAACTAGGAGAAATTGGGATGTGGGACCATACAGATCGCACTTTACAAGCCCTTCCGTTATATAATGATTTCAGTGTGACTCTGGCTTTGTCATCTGAGCCAGTGTCCTATGAGTTGCATCCGCACCATGTCTTAAGTAGCACAAAAACATAACTTAAACTAACTGCCCCATGAAGCACATTAATCAAAGCTATATTGTGATGCAGGTGATATTTACTCAACACAACGCATTCCTATTTTATTGTGAAACTCGTTGCGCATAGAGCAAACGAAGCGGTACCTGAGAAGATTGGAAGTACNGTACCGTACTACTGGCTGGGTCTTGGTAACGATGCCACCCGGGATTTCACAGGTACAACACAAACATCTTGTCCACTCGGCCATTGCTCAGCTGATCAGAACGTTTTTCATTTTTCTTAAGCACGATGTATTACAACCGATCTTTGCGAGCACAATATGATCATCGAACCTCGTTCATCTCAGCATTAGCTTCCTGGGTTATGGCTC